AAAATTATTTTATTATACTTCATAAAGTTAATAACTGCGTTACGAAAGTTTGTGAAACACTGCCCTCATCCAGTATACGGTCGAAACATTATACAGAATAGGGTGTTAGTGTAGGGTTGTCAAATCGAACTATTTTATATTACATTATATTATTTAAGGCCGCTAAAGACAGAGTGGCCTAACGTTTATGAGTTGAGTTATTTATATTTTCATAGTCTAAAAATGTTAATCTACAAGAGCACACTGAACGAAAATTGTCAACACAAGTAATGGTACTGATTTATTTTCCCCTAAGTTAATTGCACAATTTTATTTTTATTTTCCTTATTGGAAATCATGTTTTTTATTATTAGACCACTCTGCCTCTAGCAGCAAGTTTGGACTGTTCCTTTATTTTTCTTCACATTTACAAAGTACCTAGACGTTGTTCTGTGAGTTTCGTCTGTATACGTTTTACTAGTGTAGGTAAATTTAAAATTAAATTTGATGAACTGTTAAATATTATATGCAGGTATGTCGCTTAAAAATATTTCTCGTTCAAAACATTATTATTTCATATAAAATATATAATTCATATTTCAAAAGGCAAATTAAAATATTTGACAACGGTGGGACTTGAATCTAACAACCACGCCGTTCCAATCTCTTGTCTCTACAATCTTAAATAAATTTATTTTATATAAAACACTTTAACGGTATAAAACGCGGTATATATTAGTTAACCTATTTGAAAATTATCCGAAATGTTGGGCCGTAGTAAAGCTAAGTTTTATACATATAATATATATCATATTTTAAACCGTTATATTTGTGTACTACTCAAGTAAACTACAGACACTGTCAGATTTCTTTAGTTTTCTAGTATTTTTTTTTCAATAACTCCGTTGGCACAGCCCTGGATTTAGTGGAACAGACCTTGCCAGAAAGTGTACGTGTGTGAAAGAGACGGCTGCATACATAATGCGTTTTCCTTTTTATGTCAATATTGAGTGGCGAGTATTGTTCCTTTTTTAAACTTATAGTTATAGGTAGTGCAGTCGACAAATATTTCCGATTTTTCAACCATTCGTTTATTAAGTCGAAATGATTGTTTGATTGTCACATGTTATTGTACATCATGGCATTTTATAAACTAACAAAAAATCGAAGGCCTCGTTGGTGTAATGGTGGAAATTTACGGCTTATAATCTCTATAATTGGCCGTGGGTTCGATCCCCACCGGGTCTAACATGCTTCTAACTGTCCAATGATTAATTTTTATAAAAATATATTCTGAAATTTGGATATTAGAACAAATTCCGCACGTAGAACGACCTCTGAAAAGCGCGTCAAGTATCGAGCTACCGTTCAAGTTGTGGTTTTTTTGAATCTCCAAAACCGCCCCAAATTGGTTTGGGGAATGGGGCAGTTTTACAACAGTTGCAACTGCGAACGTATTAAAATATAACAGCTAATAATGGAGTAACGGAGACAGACTGTCAACTCTACATATTTATGACTAGCTGTGTGTGTGTGTGACGCAGAATAGTGATTTTGGGCATACAAATTTGCTTTATAAATTTAAGCTACCCACGTCGTCCTACTCTTAAAAGATAGGCATATAGTGTCGCATACTTTTTTTTTTAATAATTTAAAGAGGAATCATTCATACATACTTTTTGTATGTCTTGAACCGTTTTCGCAGCGTAAGGATCTAAAACCCACAGAGATTAAAGTTTTCCCCGTTTTGTTCACATTTTATAGCCTTCCTCGATAAATGCTCTAAGCAAAACAAAAATATTTTTTCAACTCGATCCAGTAGTTCCTGAGATAAGCGCGTTCAAACAAACAAACTCTTCAATTTTATATATTATTAGGAGTAGGTAGTAATTAGATACTATGTTGCAATGTAATTTCAAAAGAACGGTCACGTTTATTTTTAGCGAGAATTAGCAATCTATCATACGGTTATAAGTTATTAATTCTCAATAACGCATAGCAGGGTAAACTGTTGCGTAACGCGTTACGACGTCATTCTGTCTAAATACTATTTTAGTAAAATAAAACACTTGGTCGTGGTCTCCCCGTGACCACGGCTGCTGCAAAGCATCCGAAACGTCGAGTCGAAGTTAATAATAATTTTCGAAAAAGTTTAACTAATATATCGCGTTTTAAACCGTTAAATTATTAATATATAAGCGTAAACTATAGACAGTATTTACTATTTTAGTCTTTTAAGCACACGTGCTTTCTATGAAATGAACAGACAAACGTGATAATTCTAAATGGTAAAATGCCTGTAAATAGGATATGTTGTCTGTCGAATACTGTCTGTAGTTTATGCGAGTAGTACACATTTAAAATAAAACACTTTGACGGTATAAAATGCGATATATATCAGTTAAACTTATTTGAAAATTATTTTTAACTTCGGCCCGACGTTTCGGATGCTTTGTAGCAACCGTGGTCACAGGAAGTCTATAATAACCGTCTCCCCGTGAGCACAGCTTTATTTCAAATATGTTTATCTAATATATATCGCGTTTCAAACAGTTAAAGTGTTTTATTTAAATGTGTTGTCGACCTATTTACATTTGGACTTTTAAATATCTACGGATAGAGTGCCTCATAGTGAAAACCTGAGAAATCCCTTCTACCTACCACTAAACTAATTTTATAATTAAATATTAAAATTAATTAATATTTACTTAAATTTTTAAGCTTTATTTAATCAAACTTCTGTTTTTATTTATATCAAATGTTTTGCAACATTTACGTAAACACGCCCTTACATTTCGACTCATATCATCTTTAGTCCTTGTTTAATAAAATGCAAGGCTTCGTACACACTGTTGGTTAGTTCTAGTGTACGATTACTTTAACTTTTTTCGTTGTTTATCCATTGCATACACGGTTTTCTTCATTCAGCTTAGTTAGGACCGTAAATGGAAGAAGGGCAATGACCACACATACGTCTGTGTCTAGCTCGACCGAAAGTCTTTTTGCAGGGATCCGAACCAACTACCAACAACGAAATACCACAGCCATATAGCACTTGATAAAATGCGTTGTCGGCCTATTTTGCTCGGATATTCGGTAATCTACATACAGAAACTAAACTGGATTAAAATCGACTGCTGTGTTATCTGTCGACGGTAGTCCATGACCCGGACGAAATATGGATATTCGTTCAACCTATTCTATATCCATCTTTCCAGACTGGGACCAGGCGGGGATCGAACCCACGGCGCGTTGATTATTAGACATACATTGCTATCATTACACAATTGAGGCCGCCTAAGAAAAAAATAAGTAAATCAAATAATAAAGAACAAGTGTGTTCTAAGCCTAATCTGTTTCCGTCTCGCTCGCACAATCACTATCTGCCCGGGGCTGTTTCAATTTTATACTTATTGATTCAGAGGCCGTACTAGGTACGGTCAGCATATTAATGTTTTTTTATTAACTAATATAAAAATAAAAATATGTACATACTGTCTGTAGTTTACGCGAGTAGTACACATTTAAATAAAACACTTTAACGGTTTAAAAGGCGATGTATATTAGTTAAACTTATTGTCTCCCCGTGATCACGGCTGCTGCAAAGCATCCGAAACGTCGAACCTTAGTTAAAATATTTTTTTTTAAATATTAACTAATACAGTTCGCATTTAAAACCGTTTAATGTTTTCATTTATTTACAGAAGTGACTGAAAATTGATATTTGCATTTCTTGTAAAATTCGTTTTTCGATCCATACTAGAAAATTTAATGTGGATGCAAAAATTCAAAAATTAGACACTTACCCATTACCAAGTCACGTTTAAATCCGTTTTCCCTCTTGTCGATAGTTTTCATATACAGCAAGTAAATATTTAAATAAAACGCTTTAAATGGTTTAAAACGTGAAATATATAAACTTAAATACGGTTTGACGTTTTAAGTCATTTGACAAGTAACTAGTAGATCTTTACTCTATGCCCTTCCCGACCGAAACTATTTAGTGTTACCCCGGCATGCGAACCCAAGTTACCAACGTTTAACAGTTGAGATATGACCGCGGCATAATGGTGTTTGCTGACGTTACTTCACAAAATGGCCACATCCGCAGTTCGGGCCGGTATAGCAGGCGTCGTCAACATTTTCACGCACTTGTCATAAATATTACTTAAAATAAATTTAGTACCTGTCGTTTACGCGAGTAGTAGTAACTACTAATCTATTCATACAATCAAATCAATATATTTCGTGATTCGAACTGTTTTTTGTTTATTAATTTGAAATTGGAATATCTAGTTTACGCGAGTAGTACACAAACGAACAATTTAATTCAAAATAAGTAACCACTAACTTACTTATTCGCGTACTAATATATAATAGAACAAATACGTTTCGCGTTTTAAACCGTTGAGTGTTATTTCATTTGTGTTGTATTCATCTGAAATTGGAATTTTTTATTTACGCCAGTTGTACATAAACCACAATTTAATTAAAAATAAGTCAACTACTAATTTATTCGAGTACCAATTTATCTTAGAACGAATATATTTCGCGTTTTAAACCGTTAGTGTTTTTTTATTTATTTTTAATTAATTTGAAATTGGAATTATTTATTTACGCCAGTTGTACATAAACCACAATTTATTTAGTCAAGTCAACTACTAATTTATTCGAGTCCCAATGTATAAAAGAACTAAGTAATATATTTCGGGTTTTAAACCGTTTAGTGATTTTTTTATTTGTGTTGCATTAATTTGAAATTGTACATTTTTATTTACGCCAGTTGTACATAAACCACAACTTAATTAAAAATAAGTCAACTACTAATTTTTTCGAGTAACATATATATTAGAACGAATATATTTCGCGTTTTAAATCGTTAAGTGTTTTTTTATGTGTGTTAATTTAAAATTGTTTTTTTTTTACGCTAGTTGACCACAATTTAATTAAAAATAAGTCTACTAATATATTTCGCTTTAAGCTGTTAAGTGTTTTGTTACAAAAAATGTTTTTTTTTGCAGTTGGTGGGAGCGCCCTGTGGTCAACACGGGCAGTATACATTCTACAAGGCACTTCGGTTGTCTGGCTCCATAGAACGGATCGTCGCCATCGGTGACTTTTTCTTCGTCAGGATATGGCAGGACTCCGAGCTGGTGTCGATTGGTGAGTTGGTTCAATCAGTTTATTATATATAAAAAGTATTAAAAACAATTTTTCATATGTATAAAGCACTATTATATTATGTGTATAGAAAAAAAAAAATTAATATATTAGAAAAAAGACGGCCATATCGTGAACCAGCTCTTCGTGTTAACGCGAAAAAAACCATACTACCTACATTGTTTTAAATCGAATATTACCCAAAAAAAAACAAAAGCCTAAACAGGTCGACAGCGAGTCTTGTTTAAATGTTATATGGCTGAGATATTTCTCCTACCCTCAAGTGGCCTTTGTTTGTCTGTCCTCCTCTCTATTAAAAAAAACTGTTCTATAGGTATGTAGGTATACATACAGTTAAACCGTGGTTTATGATATAGGAGGACAGATAAACATGGCGTTCACATGATGGTAGGTGGAATACCATTTTCGGCTTTAGATTTTTCGTAGTATAAAATTCTAACATAATTCTTTTGTTTTTTTTTTTCATTCACTGAAGTTGGGAATATTTCCGAGTGGATAAAAAACCTTTTTTTTTTTCTTCAATTTTAACCAGTTTTTTTTGCCTAATTCTTAACATCGACTACTATTCAACCTTGCTGAATTTCATTTTTTTTTCTTTGAGCTGTATCTTAAAGAATTCTGGTTTTCAGGAGAACTACAGCTACTATGGACGGACAGAGTTTCCGATCAAACTCTAGTGTCTCTGAGGCTGTATTTCCTCCCGGAAAACACACCTGATGGAAGGGGACAACAGGGACTGGTGAGTAAATTTTAAAGAACTTTACTCAGTATTGATTTTTTATTTACATATTAATTTAGAACCTAATCTTATTAGTTAATTTAACACTAGCTGTGTCAGCGACTATGTCCGCGTACAATAGTTATTTTGGGCATCCGATTTTGTTTTTGCAAACCTCCTATTCTCTTTATAAATTAAAGCTGTTACCCACGACGTCGCACGCGTCCCTCTTCCCGGCGTTCTTCCAAGTTAAACTCAAAAGATAGACATATACGGCCGTATTACAGAAAAATACTTTACCCAGGTTTAAACCAGAGCTGCGGAGTCTTGGTTAAACTCTATAAACCATGGTCTTTTTTTTGGTTTTTTTTTTTTTCAAATGAATCTAAGTAAGAACCATAGCTGGTCCAGTACTAACGTTAAACTTCGGTTTGTAATAAGGATTTCAAATAAACCAGGGTTTGAACCAGGTTTGACAGTTAGTCCTTGTTTTGTGAAAAGAGTGATAGAGTCGCCGCCTTTTAGAGACCAATGAAAGAGGAATAACTCTTTCATACATATCTTTTAAGTATTTTGAACCGTTTTTGCAGCGTACGCCTCGGAAGCCCATGAATAATTTTCCCAACGCATTTGCTTATTCCCTTATAGACACGGGCGATGTTTTATAGCTTTGGCCTTCCTCATAAATCTTCAACCGGCTAAAAATCGAACCAGTGGTTCCTGAAATTAGCGCGTTCAAACTACAAACAAACTCTTCAGCTTCCTTCGATAAATGGTCTAACTAACACAAATTTTACAATTCAAACCCGTAGTTCCTGAGATTAGAGGTTAAAACTAACTCTTCAGCTTCTTATTAGTCAGATATAGATAGTAGAAAAGTTTTCAGGCGATACTCGAACCCAAATACTACATCATCGGTATTTCCTATAAGCATTCTCTTATTTTAATGATTAATAAGATTTGGTCTATTTTTCCTTGTATTATCTTATCTTCGGAATCGAGTGACAATTTTAAACAAAGCAGTGTCGAAAAATCTGTTGAATACGCGTCCCGCTCTATCGTATAGCGCTGTCTCGCTCTAATCCCTATTTGGTAACGCCAACTATTTCATGGATGAAATTACTGTTGTTTCGCTGTAAGTTATAAGCGGTAGCGGAGCGATTTTTGCTATGAAATATCTATTTTAGATTACTTTTATAGACGGTTTTATAGATAAATAGACGGGCTTTTCGGTCGATATATGCTTATTAATGAATGGGTCGTGGATTTAATCCCCGCCGGCGCAAACATGTCCTAATCGATTTGTAATTTTTATGAAACATATTGTAAATTCACACAGATGAAAAAGCAATGAAGTTTAACGCGTTTCGATTTCGATCTGTGGTTTTCTGAATATCCAAAGCTAAAATGGGTCGACAGCACATCGTGTTAGATGTTATTTCACCTCCCAACAAGTGAACCCAAATGCTTGTTTGTTCTATTTCAACATAAAAAAATAGAGGAATCCCGATTGGAGCATGGGATGGATACATTTGTTGATTCTCAAGTAGGTGATTCTTGAAGTTGTTTTTTGCTCTGCCCGACCGAAATTATTAATTGTTTTGTCGGATTGTCAATAAATCTATTACGTATACATTATGTTTACGAAGTAGCTTCTTAAACAAAAAATATTGGTTATTTTAACTTACATATTTAATTAAATCCGATATAATTCTTCCATTTGTGCTATACTAATTAAAATGGGCAATTTTGTATGTAACCAAAATTATAAAGCTACAAACTATACGCTAGCCTACCGTTCTTACAAAGAATCGAACCCAATACATCTATTTTTTACCCACCAATGCGTCAAGACACAGACTACCTGCTAAAGGAAAAACTTAAATAGAAAAAACTTTTTTGACTCATACCACAAACCTCCCCAAGTGTTATGTTTAAGCGAAACTTAACTTTATTCCATTGGATTAACGGCGAAATTTGTATCCACTTGTGACAGAGTAATTTTCTAGTACGTTATGGGATTTCGTACTGCGCTCTAATAGTTGTGATCTTTTTGTCGTTCTCAATTCGAAAATAACAATGTTTATTTTATTGTAATGCGAGGCTTGTAAGCATTCGAAATTCAATTTTTTCTTACAGAATTATACTATAATAGTTTACAGAATTGTATGATAAAGTTTTTTGTAATTATAGAAAAGTCGGGTTTTATTCTGTCGTATTTTTGCGCTAAAGCGAAAAAAGATCGATAACAGATCTCGTTTGGATGGTCATATAACATCCAAACGAGATCTGGTGAGGTGGGGTATTTCATCTTAAATATTATTTCCATGATTGTCATTTCTGAAAAAAATTATCATAAATAGACCAAAGAAGAGAAATAGATAATGTGTTAACAGAATTTAGGTGGAGTGGTGGTGGGGCCTCAAACCCTGGACCGAATATTGAAGACATAACATCCTCCCCCTATTAGTGAATCATTATGGGTTGGAGGGGGCGCGCGTCTTAGATGATCCTATGCAATAAATAGAGCCACTTTTTAACAACATTATAATTATTTAAATAAACATTAAAATTAAGGCTTTATACAAATTTAATAATGTATAATATCATCCCTTGTTTTGATACTTACGACTGGATTACACAAATATGTCAAAATATTGTAACAGCTCGAAATGTTTCCGTCGCGCTACACAATGCCACGTCGCGTTGACTACATGAGGATTTTAGCACAGGGAACGGCGTGGAGTCGTCTTTGGAATGAAATTATTTTTATGTTTATTTTAACTGTGTCCTACTTATATGCGATTGTAGTTTTTAGGATTGAGATCAAAATTAAGTGAACGTTTACAATACGGTATTTTCCAAAAATATATAGCTAAGCTATGTTAGTAAATACGAAACTTTAAAAATATATGTAGCGGCATTTTTTTATGAAAATAAGCATATAACACAAAATCGACTAGGCATTTTTACTAAAATCTACAATCAAGCTAAATTGAAGATACATACTTTTATATATGAAATAACTTATTTCTCCAGGTGATGGCATAAACTTAAAAAAATAATTAAATTTAAAATACGCGCGAGTTGACAAATTTAATAAAAGAGCATACGCAAAAAAAAACTCATCAACGTTAAAGTTGATTTATAAGTATTGTCTTTACGCGAGGGTACACATTGAAATAATTAATTTAACGATTTAAAACGCGGAAATGTATGCTTTGAAGCAACCGGCGAAACGCCGGGCCGTAGTTAAAATAAATTGGAAATAAGTTGTAGTAGTAGTTATTTTGCTTTTAAACTTTAAAAGGCATGTAAAAGTGTGTGAAAAAATTTTTAACCCCCCCCAAATCTTGTTCCATTTACGATCGGTTTGTATTCGGATTTAGGTATTCGGCTATCTTATCGTGGGTTCACTCTCCGTAAATAACTGATAACCGCGCGAGTTAGGTACAGTCAAACACACAATTAATTTTTAATTGTTATCGAGGAATGCAATGTACGAGTACGAGGACGATTAATACCATGCGGAAAGGGGTGAATTTTAATTTTAACGCGCAAATATAAGATTTTGTAATTTCAAGAACGTTTTTTTTAATAGTTGAATAGAATATTTTCATTTCGACTGTACAGCCAAGTAATAATGATATTTGTCAGCCGAAGTTTACGAATACCTTTTTTAATGTTCGCATAGATAAGCTTGGAGCGGTTCTTAAAGTGTGATAAACAAATACTAATTATTGATAACTTACCTCAAAATAATTACGTTTTTATTTATGGCAAATAGAATAAATTAGAAAAATATATGTCAATATTCTCGACCCTGTTTAATGGTCCAATGGTAACCAACGGGTCGTGGATTCCATTTTCATCTATATCAATTTGGATAATTTAGTTCTTAGTTATATAATAATATAAATCTTTACTTTACTATGAACTATTTTTACTGAATCAAAAAAAAAGGATTTATTTCCAGTCGTGAATTATTATTTACGTAACATTTCATCAACCAAACGCTTGTCTATCGTTCACGGTCAAAAGAAAAAACATTTTGTTTGCGTAATAGTTAATTCTAGTCCCAGCTGTGGGAACTGTTATAAGGGCTGATTGATAATGAACTTCACTTTTGTACCACGACACCAAGATTGTAGAGAAAAAACTTGTGCGCTTAGTTAACACTATACTACTACTAGAAAAAAGTATATTTCTACAGAAATAATTACAAAATACAAAATAGATAAATTATGTATTGAGCAACTCCACAGGTTTGGAGTTCAGTTCAGTAATTATTTATGAACATAGCACAGGGCTGCCAATTTGTGTTATTGTGTAGGGCTGTCAGAATCGCGAACTTCTTGATTATATACCCGGGTGCGTAAGTAGGATTATGTTCTTAATAAGTAGAGTAACTGAGAACAAACAAGCATTTTATGCAATTTGACATTTGACATATTTGATAAAACCTGAAATACTGTCTATAGTTTACGCATTATTAAAACGTATTGTTCAAATTTAAAAGTTTTTAACTTCGGCCCGACGTTTCGGATGCTTTGGGAGGCCCGGGGCCCGGGGGGACCCCCGGCCGGGGGGTTTATTAAAAACAAAATTTTTTTAAAAAATCAAAAAACACCCCCGGGTTTTTTTTTTAATATATCGCGTTTTAAGAATCAAACCGTTCAAGTGTTGTTTATCTTTAAATGTGTACTCTACTTCGTCGTAAACGACGGACCGTGGCTAAAGTAATCTTCAAATAAGTTTCACTATCACATATTGTGTTTAAAACCGTTCAAGTGGTTTTTTAAATACACAATATTTTTTTTTTCATTTGTTAGTTTTCTCATTTTATAACTCGAGCGCATAAACAATATTTATACTTCGTTAATTTTTATGTTTTATGCAAAAAAGTCTAAGATATAATGTGGACAATTAAAAAAGTAATAAAATTATTGATTCATTTGAATAAGTACGTTGAGCGATCTCAAGGTGTCGGCCCTGGCTTCGATAAATGGTGTTTTTTACTT